CGTACAAACTGAAGAAACACCACGCCAAACTAGAAGTGCGGGCCCACTTCTTTTCCCAGCGGGTCATTGAAGAATGGAATAAACTTCCTTCACGGTTGTTTTTTGTGAATGCGTCTACGCATTCAAAAGAAGGCTTGATCTTACTTTGCTTGCTGGTCATACATTTGGTAGACAACAACGATTTATATAATGTATATATGACTTTGAATGACATGCATGATCTGACAGCATCTATCTGTAAATAGGGTTTTCAAAGGCTCTGCCTCTCTCCCTTATATATACTGAACTGCATTTATACACTAAGGAATTTTTCCTACACATCCCTCAATATACTGATACTGATACTAGACGTTTTAGATATTATTCTAATCACAGTCATTGCAAATTCCTTTAGATGAGTTGTTAATATTCCAAAATGATTTATAACGGACAAACTATAATATTTCTAGATGGACAAGCATTTTTCTCGCGTTTCTGCCGTACTCGTCGATGTCGGTTAATATTCGTAAGTTTGTTTAAATACGTCAAACGAATCACAAAAAGGCGTTTTTCGCTAAAACTATTTAAATTTCGTGGCTTGACCGATTTTCATAGTTGATCTTGCCACCTTGATCTTATTCCGAGTTTGGTAGTCCGGGGTACTATGCCTGAAATCCAAAAGGCATCTGAGCCTGCACATGAGGATACGAAGGAAAAGTCGCCGGGTGCGTATAAAATATTAACTTGCCAATGAATTTATATTTTTAATTATGGATGCCCATTAATCTCTTTGTTAGAGCTGTTGCTAGTGTCCCGTTGATTTCGTATGCAGAGGTCAATTTTTTGACATTTTAAGCTATTTCTTCGTTATTAATACTCAAAAGCTTATATTATTCATGTGGCGCTCCTGTTTGGAAGATTAATCTGCATCTAGGTCTAGATTTAACTCAACATCATACTTTAGTAGCTCTTCTCGAATTCACTTTTTTCTAACAAAAAATATGACAGATTCATGTAAGAATGTCTAGCATTTAGTCAGTAGGACTTCTGCTGAACACTATCTGCAGTCATTTAACCGTACATCTTTTACTTCATATCCAGTAATTCTTAATGTGTTCAAACTCCAATTTGCTTATGCGCAACCCTTTACTCTATTCTGGAGAAATGGTTATGAACATGAAAATAACACAGATAAAACGAAGAACGGTACAGTAACCCTTATGCGGAAATATGCGCAATTGTCGCTACGAGCGTAGACAAAAACACGCAATAGAAACCACCAGTGTATTTTAGGGAGGATATTTTGTATTAAACTGTATTTTGAAACAAACCAAATAAGAAAGCGCGAAAGACATTATATTTTTAATTTTTTCAAGCGGTCGGAGAACAAAAGATTATGGATAGAAATAAATTGATACATCTCTCCATATCCAGTAAGTGGTGATTTATACAAATGTGACGTGGGAACACATTAAGGCGGATTTGAGAATTAACGTAGTGGCTTTGCACTTAAGAACTGTATTCGCCTTCATAATATTTTTTTTATCAACCCATAAACTTCGCCACAAATAGTTGCTTGCACAGCCTTTAAGAAAGTCCGCCATGTTGTCGGTTACAGTCGTACCGGAAGACGTGATCAAGATAATTTAGCTGAGCACTAGTGTATATTGAAATCAGCTCTGCGTCATGTGTTTTCTAGAGATATTCCATATTTCTTAATTGCAAATTGATTTCATATGGTGAGTGGAGTAGATTACACTATTTATAAGACCATATCGGGAGTGCAAGACAGACACTACGATCGAGTGATCGAGTTTTGGCTGCGTAAATGTTGCAGAATAACATCGACAGTTTTTCAAAATTTTCATACATAAGGAAAAAGGAGGCTGCGAATATTTTTTTCATTTGTTCTTTTGAACTCATACAGGAGTACATCATCAGATATAAAACGGCAACAAAACAGGCATCAAGGGTAGGAGCCAATCAATCATAAAAAATACCAATATGGAGGTAACTGTGCCGAGATTTGTGTACCGGTGTCGCATCGATGCATGGATTGACAATGTTTTCACCAGAAGCCCAGACTTTAAGTAATTCCTGGTTTGTCTTGCTTCTGGATGAAGTGATTATCTTCGTGGTCGATAATTTTTCATTTCTTAGGTGTGGACAGATAATTTTGATAATTTGTCACTAGTTCAAACAGTCAGCTTATCTTCTTGTATGCGCGATCCAAACATTCATTTAGTTTACGAGAGCAGTATAACTACTTGCTACGATACACTGCATACGATTGTTCATGTTGATTGTTAATGTTTTGCCACTACCACTGCTTTTTTCGCCTGTTGCATATTTTTCTCCTAACAATTTTGAGTGTCATCGTTTAAGTTATGATGCTGATGGTATCTTAGACTTTTCACAAAATTATATAACACACTTTTCTTTATTGGTTTACCGTTTTCGTTATCCTAGCATCCGAAAATTAATTTGCCTGATCAATTCGTTTTCCGTACAAGTTCTTGGACTGGGTCTTTCCAGTTTACAGGGTCCACTTTGTCTGAAGAAAGTTTGCAAATGTGATTACTGCTTTTCTATTTCCAAAACACAACTTGGACTAATAATTTTTAAAAGGCTCTTTCGAAACTGTTGAACAATTAGGACAATGTAAGCCTATTTTAATTCGGGAGTAGGGTGTTAAATAAAAAAGTGTCAAACTAGTTTCAAAAAGTAGGTCGAGGAACCTCAGTATGTCATTAGTTTGTTAATACTCTGTCAACAACGGGGACATCTTTATGAACAGAGCCAAAAAGACACCGCGGATCGTTATTTATGCACGCTTCCAGGCGATGTTTGGCCCTAGTCATGGCAGTTCATATAAAATATCCGTCAAAGTGTCTATTCATGTATCCTTTCTCATTTTGTCTTACAATGTAGAAATTAGTTGGTGGTTTTGACAGATTAAAATAATTATTTCGACCCACTTGTGAAAATCTCAGCGGCCTCGTCTAGATTCGAACCCGCGTCAGCAAGGTTGAGGCTCTGGCAAACTGAGCGACGAGTTTTTCACAAGAAGGTCAACTAAAAGTAGCAATTTTCCAATCCATCACTAGCGGTTTCCCTGTGATCCCATAATACTGCATGTGTCACATTCTAATTGAACTCTTGTTTGGTACGTTTAATATCTGCCATGATCAAATAGTACTTAGAAATAACTACCGTTAAGAAAGTTAAAGTAAGTGGCTGCAACGTCTTTATTCCTGTTTGTTTACTATTCCTTTTAGACTTGGTGAAATTGACCGCACCATACGTATGTTACCCACCATCAAACACTTTTCGGTCACTCAATTTACCTATTACTTCTCATTAAAAGAACATCCGTAAAGTACAACCGCATTGACCTTTTATGCTGAATCAAGTCCTGGCAACTAAACGCAATTAATAAAATGAAATAAATAGCAGACAATTGGTTTCATTTCTTCTCTTGATTGTGTTTATCGCGACAAAGTATGCATGGCCACATGCAGCGTTGGCAAGAATTCATACTTCACCGAGAGTGAATATACGCGATTGAGTTGAGACGTTAAGTTAATTGTCGAATATTGCAGTAAGCCTGTACCTTTACGGTTCTCTGTGAACCTAGACAAAGATTATAGTAAGTACGATGAGACTTGCAGCGACTCTGATGTCTCGGAATCTCTGTCCGTTAGCGCAGTAAGCCCTGGTTTTTCGCAAGTTTATAGGCTCTGTTTGTTTTTTTCATACAGACCGGGCAGAAGAGCGGGAGCCTGCCGATGATGTGCTTGTAGATTCAGAGGCGCTTCCCCCGGACCCTGGTGAACATAAGTCTCGAAAGTACCACAAAGGTACAAAGCACGTCACCACCTCGAATAACCCACGTACGTTTTGCTCGCTTTTACCTAGGTTTCTTACTCGGTCAATTGGTTTTGCCTACTTATCGAGCATGCTTCTACAAAATCTCTTGAAGAAAAAAGTTCAGGAAAGATCAACGAGGACTGGACGATGTCTCACCGCGCAGTCCTTCTATCTAAAGCAAACACTTAACATAACCCCCTTCCCACCGTAGGGCTTGCCAGCTTAGGGTATGCTTTTGAAGCTTCTCCCTGAGCATTCTGCTTTAGTTCCACGCTAACGGGCTTTTCTTTACTGTCTGTCTACACCGTAAATTATCTATACAGATGGTTCTTCTCTTGCTTATTACGTTTGTCTACCTTTTGGCATGTGGCAAGGGTTAAAATGAGGCAACACCTTTAGCAGTCACGGACTTTACTTTGTAAAGATTTGGTTCTGTAGAGTGTTCTCCCCCCATAGCCTCATAGGCCCTAGGCTACTTAGGTGTTAAAACTCGAAACCACACAGTAAAGACCGAGGAGCACACGCATTGTGCACTTTCATATTCTCTGGTGTCAGCTATTTTGACCGGTGCAAAATTTAACATTTCGAAAATTATGTTGTAGCGCCATTTCTGTCCTGACAAAGTGCATGAAAAAAGGTTGCATTTATCGCGAGAACGAGTTGCTAGTTTATTTTACTACTACACCCAGAAGGTGCTTTTCAGTCTAGGATTATCTTCCTATTCCTGACTGCGGACTGCTAAAATGTCACGGTTGGACCTAACGAGGGCGCACTTTGTAAAATGAAGTCCCGCGGTCATATCTGACTCGTCCACCATTGCCTTAACTTTGTGTTGTGCTTTTTCGTGAACCACGCCATTTGCTGAAATGGTTTCAAAAAAAACATTCTTCTAGGTACCTTTGCATGGTTGTTTGTCGAACGTTTTATTAGCTGTATTTTTTGCGAGCGGTTGTTTTTACTGAGCGGTTTCCCGAAGGCCGGCTTTTGCCGCCTTCAAAAGCTTGTCCTTAGGTTAGCACGCCTATCCAAAATGTTCGCAAACGCCAAGCTGATAATTGTTACGATATTAGCCGGACCAAACGCTAGCAACGTCTGGAGGTTTTCCTAAGGCGTCATCGTTATATCACTAGCGACGCTGAACCCGTCGTTACAACAATAAAAAAAGACAGGAAAACTGCAAAGGACAGACTTTTAACTCGGGCCAGTTTACATAGTACTTCTCCTTCTCCTCTTCCTCCTCTCCTTGAGCTAGGTCTTGTTATTGATGTTGTTCTCCGTCAGCCACCACTGGATGATGATGATGATGATGATGAGAACTTTATTTTGATGGTAATATCAAACTTTCACCAGGTAGCCCACAACCGACAGACTCCGTTTTCCCAGACGATTCCAATTGTCCTGGCTAGCGGCGACAGCGCCCGCACGGTCTGTTGATCTTGTCCATTTTTTGGTCCGATGGCCCCCTGCGGTTAGAATCGTGTCCCCATGTTTGTTTAAGACATGGGTACATAAACTGGTCCATCCAAGAGCAGACATTCA